CATTATTTTTCAAAAAATGTAAAAATGAGTGAAAAGAATGAAAAATGAATGTCGAAATATTACATAGCAACAATTTTTAAAGAAAAAAATCTCTATTTTTCAGAAAAATATTGATGAGATTTTTTTCTTTAAAAATTGTTGCTATGTAATATTTCGACTACTGCTATAAATTTTCTAAACATTTATAAAATTCTAAAAAATTGGAACAAAAACCCCTAAAAAATAAGTAATAAAATATAAAATAAAAAAAATCAACAAATTGCTAAAATTTTGTGCTACATACCCAACGGACAAATATGTAACGTTTTTAGGACATTTTAACGTTAAAAAATGTAACGCTTTGGCCCGGTTTAGTGGTCATTTCCGTGTCAAATGGAACGTAGATTGTGTGTGTAGTTTCCAGTATATTTACAATGTATAATACCAATGGAATGATTCGTTCCACTTGTTTACTACCATACAAAATCATACTCCGACCGTATAATATGATCGCCACCCAATATGTGTACTGTACGTTAAGTTTTTGTATTTCAAATTTAATGATTTATTTACCGCAAGAAAATCCATTCTCTGCAAACAAATTAGATTTGAGTGATTTGATTTAATTTTCTGCAGAAGAATTTTTTTTTAAACGGCACTTGGCATTTATTTTTTTAAATACTTTCGTATTCATGAACGTATATGAATTTCGAATTTCTAATTTAATTTGACAGTTGCCGTTCAACCATCGTCACTTTGAAAAAAGATGCAAACATCATAATTTTGTTTACATTTTAAAATGTGCTTTGTTTTGAGAATGCATCGTGGATTTTTAGTTCAAACAAACAGAATTCTTTCTTCTAATTTCAACGTAGATATTGTGAATTTGCAGAGAATAGATTTATTTACGGTGAATTTTGTGCCTGTTCTTGTTTTGTTTTTAAAATAACAGAACATTTCCAAAGTCACACAGTAAGAAATCAAAGCGGCATTACAGTGTATTTTGTATCGAATTGATAGGAAGTTCATTTTATTTGTGTGGAAGTGCATTCTTCATTTTATATGTCTTTGTTGTGTGAATTTGACTGTGTATTAACTTCGAATTTGATGCCATTGGATTTTTGACTGTCAGAATATTGCGAATCGAATTCAGTTTAGCGAAAAATCCTCACAAGGCAAGTTGATATAAACTGTTTGGCCATTCAATCATTGTTATTGTTGTACTCTTTATTGTGTGTTTTGTGCTTTGAAATTGCGATTTGACGTTGTGTGTAGCCTTCAATTGTTTATATAATTATTTAACGCATTTTTTCTTTCTTTTTTCCGGTTTTTTTTTAAATTTTGAAATAGACTGCAAAATGGGTCGTCACAAGAAGGCTGATCCAAACGCCGACCAAAGGTGTATAAAGCAAGGACTGCCATCAATTATCCGTGAACGATATCGGGATGTAATTGTCGTAATCATTTCGTACTTATCGGTGAAGGCTACGAAGATCGCATGCCTTGCATCGTTACTATTTTTGATGAAGGTAAGTACACACATTTCTTTGACCAAATTTTATTTTTCGTCATTATTTCATCATTTTTTCGGCACTATGCGATCCATTGTATTTATATGAATCGATTTGATTGTTTGTCTCTCTCTCTATGTGTTCTGTGTTTCTTGAATGGTCAATGAAGCACTCGACGATTTCAACTATGATTTTTTTGAAACCGATAAACCATCAACGATCATACACAACTGTTTTAAGGCCGTTCTTGTCGATAACATTGGTAACATATCGCTTATGTTACCTGGTTTCCGCAACATTGTCGACGCTGCACACATTGACTGGCCCACAAACGGTGGGTTCGGAAACGGTTTTAAATATATGTGGGAGCAGTACTACGACAATGTCAAAACGAACCTGACAACGCATTGCGAGTCTTGATTGCGGAAGTTTTTTAAAATGAGAGCATTCGAACTCAACGACTACGCCATCAAGTACAATTATTTCAACAATTTGTACGGTATGATCGAATTCGAATTGCCATACTACGACGAGGAAGATATAAAAAATGCCATCAATTATACTTATCGTCGTCGAAACACCGCAATTGGCGACGTTGAACGTGAGATGCGATTGGGTGAACTATTGGATGAATTGCGTTGGTTGGGAGCACCGGACGATTGCAATATCCGTGACTTTGTGAAAGAGGATTGGTTCAAGTCGATTCGCATGTGGTCGGAAATTCAGCGCGATATTCGGAACTTTCACTTTGCATACGAAGATCGTCGCGATAAACCGCAAATAAAAAACTTTGTCGTTGTGCCGATGTGCACTTTTCAGCGTCGACACATTCGAATTGACACCGACGCATTGTACGTTATCCTATCGAATGCGAAATTGGTGCCTCGAAAGTGCGGTAAACGGACACGTAAAGACGGAACAACAAATTTCAAAAACATCACGAGCAACGAATTCCGCACAAATAAAATCCTAAGTTGGAATTTATTCTTCGATGTGGAGAAAATTCTCAAACTTGTGCACAACAAAAAGGAATTCGATTCTCAAATTTGTTCCGATGGCGTATCTGTATCGTTGATGTACAAAAAACCGAAAGTACCACCAGTCGAGACAACAGATGACGAAATCAAGGCAATGTATGACAGCAATGAGTTGAAATATGCTGTTGGATGTGATCCGGGTATGCGAACGTGGAACGCTTCCGTACGACGAGATTTGCATACCAAAGAAGAAGTAAATTTGTCATTTAATAATGAATGAAAGCGATTGTGATTGTGAATACAATGTTGTTTTTGTTGTTTTCATTTTGTTAGGTGAATTTGCGTATATCCAGCAAGCGATATCACTGGGATGCGAAACAAGGCCGACGTAATGCAAAAGCCGAACGAATCACAAGATTGTTTACTTTCGAAGAGCAAGCCGATCGTAATCGAATTGCAGCTATGATTGGTGAAATGCCATCGCCAAAAGGACCATCATGGCGTTCGTACATTGAACATCGATTACGTGTAATGAATGATGGCATTGAAACATACTCAACCAAACAGTATGCACGCTTGGGACTGGACAAGCATATCGAATCGGTTCGTGCAATCGACAAAACGGCATGCAAAATGGTTCACAATCAACCATCAATTTTCTACATGGGAGCCAGCGGATCAACACCAGCTAATTCGCCGATTAAGATCAAGAAACATGTGCGATGTCCAGGCACACGGAAGCTGCTTGCGGCCATTATGAAACGTGGCAATTGCATCATTCGAATGGTCGATGAGTACATGACATCACAACATTGTCCATTGTGCTTCAAACGATTTCCAGTAGCAACTCGAAGCCATCGGTATAAGGTATGTGTTGGTTGTGTACCGAATCCAATTGTTGGACTACCACGAACCATCGTAACCAATGTGAGCAAACGATTACTACAAATGCGACGAACAATTGAACGAATGTGGCGCGAGATGCGTGATATAGGCGATGTCATTGCTGCAACTCTTCGAGATGGACCGAATGCAGGTCGTTTGGTGTCAAAGAAGCAACGCTTCTTCAAAACATGGCTACCAAATGTTGCAAACGTTGAAATCGAGGGAGCTGCCGGAGCACAACCAACGCTCACAACTGTATGGCACCGTGATATCGCAGCAGCGAAGCTGATCCTCTACAAAGGTATGCAATCAATTGAAATTGATACAAATTTTGAAGCAATTGTTATACATGTAATGTGTTTTTGTTATGTATCATTCGGTAGGTGAATGCGTGGTGTTCAAGCGGACAATTCATCCAAATGTACGGAGACCACGCCGTGTTGACAACAATCAGCCATTGCCGTTGTATCGAGGTCAGAATCAGAATGTCAACAATGGACATCTGCAGCCGCAGTAGTAGCAGCCCTCATTCAACAACATTCAAACAATACTAAATCTAGAAATTAGTTTATAACAATTATTTGTTAGTTCGCTAGGCTTGATTAAATTGTGGCCTTGCCAAAGTACGAGTACCTCTTGGTATAAATTGTACTCGGTAAGTGGAGTCTATTGCATATACAATAGCATAATGATGATTATGAATCAAGTCAATTTTTTCATATCAGTCTAATTGAATTGTGCTTTCTTTTCTTATTTTCTTTCCATTGCGACGCTAAAATTGACTGAAACTACACACGAATGCTACCCCAAATTCGACCGTAAACTTGGGCCTGGTAATGGGTGATTTGCGCTAACAATTGTTCCTTGGGTACCGTGTGTGCTGGTAAATTAACACCCCATGCAAGTGTGGCGGTGGAAACAAGTACTTGAATATGACGATCAGCGAACAAATCTTCGACTAAAGTACGATCAACTCGAGTCATGCCAGCATGATGAATGGCAAAACCATACGGCAACAAATCCTTCAGTTCATTATTTTTAACTTGATCAGCTTCCGATCGTAAAACTTCCATACAGTTAAAGTGCAGTGTTTGGCAAAGATATCTGAGAGATATCTTGCCTAAGACATTATCTATTATTTATCTAGATAATGAAGAACAAAATAACTAATAATCTAATATTTATCTAGATTTTCTAATTTTGGTTGCTATCTATCTTCGAAAAAAAGATATTTTTAAGATAGTAAAGTGTTCTATGGAATCACGAATAAAATTAATAACGATAAGGTCTAGTTGCAATAGTTTTCCAATGCAAAAGTTTTGCAGCAAAACCAATTTCAAAATTTTTCGACAAAAAATCAAAATGAATAAATATTGCACCATTTTATGATTGGATATATAGTGATATAAAATATGACGATGAATTCAAAAATACCCTTTGCATAGCAAAAATGAATCAGTTTAGAATTTTCATAAAATAAATCGCTCTTATATTACATACATACATATATAAGAAATTTTGAAATCGAAAATCTTCTGGTGAAATTTTTTACTTTTGGTATTATAGCGATTCAAACGGTTTTGATATGTTTGTTTTCGCTATTTTAATTCACTCAAATCATAAAACTACGGAAATCAACTCGACTTTACATTTTCGTAAAAAAAATCTCGTTCGATGGGCACTATATAAAGCGTTAATGAAACATTTTTCAACTAAAATTTAAAATCGAATAGTTGTTACTGGTTTTATAATTCGGGTGAATTTAATGGCACTATTTAATAATAATAAACACAAAAAACTACAAAAAAAATTTCATCTGTAAATTTCTGAAGTCAAAATGTCTCATATATATTGAGCAAATGAACAAATTTTTTCTGCGAATATTTGAAATCGAGTTGTTTTGTTCTTTTTTTAATTTGTATGAATTTAAATATGCCAACAAAAAGAAAAAAGTCACTTGAATCGCTTCTATACCAAAAAATGAAAATTCATTTTTCAGTTCACAAATGCAAAATTGCTCATATATGAGGCAACATACGAATGACAAATGTTTCTCCAAAAATTCAAAATCGATGAACACAAAAAAACTATTTAAAATTATTTCGAAATAAAATCTCTTTAAATGATAATAGCCACTGAAATATTTTTTAACAATTGCTCAAATTTGAAAACAATCAAATTTTCCTTCATTTTATCTACAGATATCTTGTAAGATATCTCAAAAGTATCTTATCTTTTATATAAAAAAGATAGTTTTATCTAATATTCATCTAGATACTTGATCTGAAATTCCCTGTCTAACTACTATTTATCTAGATAGTAGGAGAGATATCTTTGCCAAACACTGTTAAAGTGACTCAATGAAATGATTGAAAAATCTCAACCGGTTCATTCGCACTCGTGTTTAATTGTTTTCTTTTCTCTTATAATCAACAAACATTCTGTAGCAGGGCAACAATGAATATTGAAACAAAATACGCATTAAATTTAATTAATAATTGATATTTTCTC